AGGAAGGGGCTGACAGTCTAAGTTTCCTAAAATATATATATTTTGTTTAGCCAAATTAGTTAACAAACATGGATGTTTAAGCAAATCACATATGCTGGAATGTTATTGTTTCAGTTGAATAAATCTCTTTAAATTGTTATTATTAAGGTAATGATTATTTTTCTCCTTCCTAAGTACAACAGAAAAGTTGTCCAAATATGAATGATTAACCTATTAAACTGGGGATAAAAAAACTATGAAAAGTTGTTATTCTAAAAATCTTCATCTACTTGCATATTAAAGTTATACCAGCAAGAATTAGTCTTTATGTAGAAAACTAGGATTTAAATCAAGCCTCACTGACTAGTGATTTAAATCGTGATTTAAATCAGTTTGATTTAAATCAAATCCACCCTGATCAGTACTTATGCATTTTAGACACTTTGGGATTGATTTACTAAAAATGGAGAGTGCAAAATCTGGTGCAGCTCTGCATGGTAGCCAACCATCTTTTAACTTCAGCTTGTTCAATTAAGTTTTGCCAAATTAAAAACTGAAAGCTGACTGGTTTCTATGCAGAGCTGCACCAGATTTCGCAATCTCCAGTTTAAGGAAACCAACTATTTTGGCCCCTTTCACAAGAAGGATTCAATTAGGTCCGCCTGTCAGTTTTCAGGTGGAGCTGATCAGACCCTCCATTCACCCCTATGGGCCATATAATGGAGTGATCTAAAAGGGCCAATAAATACCAAGAGTGCATTATATGTGAAGTTCAGGGGTGCATGGTGTACAGAGTTCAGGGGTGCATGGTGTACAGAGTTCAGGGGTGCATGGTGTACAGAGTGCGGGGTTGTAGAAAGCACAACATACAGAGTTCGGGTGGGCATGGTGTAATGCAGGGTTGAATGGGGTGCGCTACACACAGAATGTAGTGACAGAGTATATTTTTAGCAGCCATTGGTACTTGAGCTTCTTTGGTGAGTTTGCCATGCGACAGGAAGCCCATTCAAGTCAATGGGCTGTCGCATCAAAAATATACTAAAACGTGCAACACAAAACGCTATGCGTCGTGTCACTCAGATGTGAATGCAGCCTAAGGGATAACTAAACCCAAGAACAATAATGTAGAGGCTGAAAAAAAACTAGTAAATGCCGCCACCACACCAAGGATCAACATATTACATCAACTAAAAGTCCCTCTCCGGTGAACAGCGATACAACAGAATATGAGATATAAATATACAGACACACACACCTAAATCACAAATCCATAAATGGTCATTAAATAGAAAATTATATTTAAATATTTAATAAAATAATCAAAAACGTCAATATATTAACTATGAATCTATTTCTCAAAGGTTTACCTAATTAAATGCACAGGGGCGTATTTATAGCAATTCACCCATTGAAAGTACATATTTCTACATTAGGGAAAGTCCCATTTATATATAAAAAAATGATATTATAAGACCCATTAGCATATAGTGTAACATAATCGATTGTCAGTCAAACTATCTCAGTCACTATCTCCCCTTTGATAACGTGCAAGCGCACGAAACGCATTAGGGAGGTGCCCTACATCCTGTGACGTCACACCGCACGGCTCCTGTGGACGGCCGGCGGCCATTTTGGAATTCCCTAACATCAACTGCCTTCAACTGCATGTGAGTACCTAATTCAAGTACTCTGTATATTTTTACCCCTGTGGATAATAAAGTACTACACTATCAGATCTGTCTGTTGTTCTGGCTCGTTACTTCCGAGCCCCCCCCCCCTCCTTCAAGGCTTGCTTGGGATGATCTGGTGGCCACATAAGGAATGGTTTAAACTCCCCCTGCTGATGAGACGATTGCATATCTCCTGATATCTGGAGACCCTGAGGTTGCGATATTTGCCCAGCTGACGCAGGCCAGACGACCCTCTCTGTGATCCAGTTTCAATAGGCGGATGGCCAGGAGTTGGTTAACACTCAAATGCGCAGTACCATTGCGCTTTCTGGTTAGTGCAATCTACACTCATCTCTGTGGGAGGAATACGGTCACAGAAGTCACTAATAATTTTTTTACCACCTTGCCTTGAAATTTTGCACGATGCACCGCAAGAACACTCTTGTTGGAGATATTTATCTACCATTATCACCATTTCTGGACGTTTAGATATGTTTAGATCGATCCTATGATCAAGTGGTGCTCACAATACCATTGTTTGATTATATGCACTTTATGACTATATGCATGTAATATTGAATTTTATTAGCGCTGCATGTTCTTTTGATATATGTATCTCAGTGCTGAAATCTGACCAATGTCCTGATAATGAAGGAATATTACAGTCTGGCACTGAAGGGGTTAAATATTATATGGCCAAAATGTCTTCTCCCCCCCCCTCCAGGCTAAGATCACATGACCATTAATTTCAGTTGGGATCCAGCAGATCAGAACATGGCAGGTACAGGGCTAACAATAGAACCTTGTCCTGGTGTTGTAGCTTTGTGAATCCCATCCATAGACAGGAATAACATGATTTCATTGGGTGCTGGATACATAAAACATGAATAATACAGATGTAAGCTGAGCAAAGATGTCCCACATTGAAAAAGAATTACCCAAAAAATGTGATATACAAACACCACATAGGAAGCCCAATGCTTTTTCCATATATGGTCATGTACCTTCCAAGCCAGGGTCATGTGACCTTGTTTCCATAGCTACCAGCACTCTGATGTCATCACCACTTGGCTCCGCCCCCTCAGCCTGCAGTCATTCCCTTTGTCTACGCTACCAGGAGTGGAAGCGATTTTTCTTTCTCTGTGAAGCTTTGTCATTTGTAATCATGACGCGGCTAATTATGAGAAAGAGAGGATACGATGTGAAGGACCTCCTGAAAACCAACAAGGAGGAGCCTGTTACATTACTGAGAGTGGGACCCTTAACAGACCACAGAACAGCATCACAGCCCCAAGATTCTGCCCCTAAAAGGGGTAGATTTAGGGCAACTGGGAAGAGATTTTGGCAGTGTCTGGCTAGATGTTGCCCCTTTTCTCAGACAAAATTAGGAGAAGAAGACGCAGAAAGTAAGTATTAGTCTATTGAGATATAATGCAGGGCACTGTAAGGGTATACAACATTTATCACCAATTACATATATATTGGGGTCACTATACATACACATAATGGGGTCACCGGGTAGAGTGTAGGGGAGAGTTAGACCCCCTGTCAGATTTTTTTATTCCCTTATTACAAAAGATTCACCCTCTATATTTGTCCTGACCACCAATCACTGGGATAGAAAGTGATGGAAAAGAAAACATTGTGGGCTGCCACCAGAACAGGAATAGAAGGGAAATCTTCTGATGGAGAATACGAATGGGGGATACATTGTTATGAATCTGCTGCCAAGTCTCATACCTGGAGGTCCTGCCAGTAACAGCACTTGTCATTAGCAGCAGCATTTGTCAGCCTGCTGTCAGTTGAATTCAGGTGACAGTTGGGCTGCAGGGGTCAGGGGTCAGGTGTGCAGGAGGCATACATAGGTCTATGGATAAATACAAAGTCGGTGTGAGCGCCTCCCCAGGGGCAGGCTGTGTATACAGGACCCATCAATAGGAATGAGACCCTACACTGTGCCCCCCCCCCCCAATGTCATTACAATTCACTAGGACCATTCATATAGACAGTTGGTTTTCTAGGATTTGTATGACCAGGCAGACTGGGGGATGCAGGAGCAGACTAAATTCATTCCGCTTTGTCATATAAAGCATGGACCATACCCACCCACAGGACTCATCCTCCTGCTCCTAGATTGTTCAATTATATTTTTTGGGGGGTGCATGTTCCACTTTTTCGATTATGATTGGAAAGATTTATTTAAAGTCCCTCCTCTTTCACTTTTTTCCTCTTGGTGTCAGGAAAACTTGTCAGAAGCAATTCATGCTGATAGCAGAGGAATGAGACAGCAGACAGAAATGACAGAGCTCTTAATTGAGACAAGTTCACACTATAGAGGGATATGCTTTGTTCATTTCATGTCTGAGGTTTATAAGCACTTTAAGTAGGGTTACTCAGGAGTTTAATAACTGTTAGAGGTGTCATGGGGACTTTTTAAAAGCTATGCATTGAGAATAGATTCCCGGGATGAGAACTACCATATTGTCCATGTATATATACCATAGAACTGCCAAAAAGAGAAACATGTGACATAAGATTAGTGTCATAACACAGATTCACTTACAGAGGTACAAAAATACATTTTAAAATCCCTGCAGATTCCTTGTAACATAAGTGATGTGTACATAGAAGTAATCTTTTTTTTTCTCTCTCCAGGAAAATATGATATCTCATTCAACAGTGAGAGTAAGCCAGCAACACCAGATACATTCTCAGAGGACAAGAAACTGCCCATACCTTCAGTCACCACTGAGAGGGAGGAGGCACTACTCTCTTCATCCACTGAGGAAAATGAAACTTCTATGGCTCCAGCCATCAGTGAAGGCGAGAACACTGCACTGGCTTCATCCACCGAGGAAAACAAACCTTCCATGGATCTAGCCATCAGTGAGGGTGAGATTGCTCCACTGGCTTCATCCACAGAGGAAAACAAATCTTCCATTGTTCTAGCCATCAGTGAGGGCGAGGACACTCCACTGGCTTCATCCGCAGGGGAAAACAAACCTCCAGTGGCTCCAGTCACCTATGAGGGCAAGGCATCAGATTATGATGACCAGACACAAAAAACTTACCATGAGAAGTTTCACCTACCATAGATTACTAAGACAGGGGACCTTTGGAAAAGTGGTGTTGGCCTCCCACCCCACCATTGGGCAAAAGCTGGCAGTCAAAATAGTTAGTAAAAGAAAAATACTTAAAACTGATCCCCATTGCGCTCTTAGCGAGCGCTATGTAATGGAAGCGTGCAGGAACAGCTCATTTATCACTCATCTACACTGCTCCTTTCAAACACAGACTCATTGTGTCTTTGTTATGGAGTTCCTGAGTGGAGGGGATCTGAAAAGACTCATAATGGGTAAAGCTCCATTTGATACAGAAACCTTAACACGTCTTACTGCCGAAATTCTGTGTGGACTGCAGCACCTTCATTCTCTTAAGATCATCCACAGAGATCTAAAACCATCAAACATTCTTTTGAACAATGCCGGCCATGCAAAAATTGCTGATTTCAGCTTGTCGGTAATGGGCGTCACAAAAGAACATAGGGTCAAGGCTTATGCGGGGACAGTAACTTACATGGCCCCTGAGGTTTTCAATCGTAGCCCATACTATGCCCCAGCTGACTATTACTCCTTGGGGATGATAGTATATGAAATGGCCGTAGGGAATCATCCTTTTTATATTAAAGGGATGAAACGAAAGGATCTGGCAGAAATGATGTATACAATGAGACCTTATTTCCCCAAGGATATGGACCTCGACACGTATGAATTCATACACAGACTTCTATGCCGAGAACAGGAAGTACGTGGGTACCTAGTAAGCAATCTCAGAATGCACCCTTTCTTCAAGGAGATTGACTGGGCTGAATTAGAAAGATTGTCACGACAGCCCCGCGAATCGGCACCTATTCTAGAGGAACCACTGGAGGAAGTCATTGAAGTGGATGAATTCCTGTCACCAGATACATTCTCAGAGGACAAGAAACTGCCCATAACTTCAGTCACCACTGAGAGGGAGGAGGCACTACTCTCTTCATCCACTGAGGAAAATGAACCTTCCATGGTTTCAGCCATCAGTGACGGCGAGGACACTCCACTGGCTTCATCCAACGAGGAAAACAAACCTTCCATGGTTCCAGCCATCAGTGAGGGCAAGGACGCTCCACTGGCTTCATCCACCAAGGAAAACAAACCTTTCATGTTTCTAGCCATCAGTGAGGGCAAGGACGCTCCACTGGCTTCATTCACTGGGAAAAACCAATTTCCGTGGCTCCAGCCATCAGTGAGGGCGAGGACGCTCCACTGGCTTCATTCACTGGGGAAAACCAATCTTCCGTGGCTCCAGCCATCAGTGAGGGCGAGGACGCTCCACTGGCTTCATCCGCTGGGGAAAACAAACCTCCCGTGGCTCCAGTCACCTATGAGGGCAAGGCATCAGACTATGATGACCAGGCACACAAACTTACCATGAGAAGTTTCACCTACCATAGATTACTAGGACAGGGGGCCTTTGGAAAAAAGTGGTGTTGGCCTCTCACCCCACCATTGGGCAAAAGCTGGCAGTCAAAATAGTTAGTAAAAGAAAAATACTTAAAACTGATCCCCATTGCGCTCTTATCGAGCGCAAAGTAATGGAAGCGTGCAGGAACAGCTCATTTATCACTCATCTACACTGCTCCTTTCAAACACAGACTCATTGTGTCTTTGTTATGGAGTTCCTGAGTGGAGGGGATCTGAAAAGACTCATAATGTTTAAAGCTCCATTTGATACAGAAACTTTAACACGTCTTACTGCCGAAATTCTGTGTGGACTGCAGCACCTTCATTCTCTTAAGATCATCCACAGAGATCTAAAACCAGCAAACATTCTTTTGGACAATGCCGGCCATGCAAAAAATTGCTGATTTCAGGCTTGTCGGCAATGGGCGTCACAAAGGAACATAGGGTCACGGCTTATGCGGGGACAGCAACTTACATGGCCCCTGAGGTTTTCAATCGTAGCCCATACTATGACCCAGCTGACTATTACTCCTTGGGGATGATAGTATATGAAATGGCCGTAGGGAATCATCCTTTTTATATTAAAGGGATGAAACGAAAGGATCTGGCAGAAATGATGTATACAATGAGACCTTATTTCCCCATGGATATGGACCTCGACACGTATGAATTCATACACAGACTTCTATGCCGAGAACAGGAAGTACGTGGGTACCTAGTAAGCAATCTCAGAACGCACTCTTTCTTCAAGGAAATTGACTGGGCTGAATTAGAAAGATTGTCACGACAGCCCCCCATGCGAATCGGCACCTATTCTTGAGGAACCACTGGAGGAAGTCATTGAAGTGGATGAATTCCTGTCAAAAGACAAGGAAATGCTAATTGACCAAGCATATTAGTATTTTTTCAATGATTTTTCCTACATGAGTTAGAGAATGAAGGCATCAACGGCCTCAACCCAAGTGGCATATTTACTGAACAACCATCAGAGGGCTATCATTCAATGGATGGTCAAAAAAAGTTAAGATAGGTAGATAGGATAAGATAGGTAGATAGATAGATAGATAGATAGATAGATAGATAGATAAAAAAAATAGAATAGATATATTAGATAGGTGGGGCGGCACAGTGGCTTAGTGGTTAGCACTTCTGCCTTACAGTAATTGGGTCATGGATTCGATTCCCAACCATGGCGCCTCCTGCATGGAGTTTGCATGTTCTCCCTGTGTTCGCGTGGGTTTCCTCCGGGTACTCCGGTTTCCTCCCACACTCCAAAGACATGCTGGTAGGTTAATTGGCTCCTGTCTAAATTGTCCTAGTTTAATCCCTGGCCATGTGGGATCTCCTGCATGGTAGGGGTTGGGGAAAGACATGCAACCTATCCTGTAAAATAATTGCTAAGAGAATTCATGGAAAAAGTTGCTTACGAGTGACGGTCCATGCAATCACCAAGGGTCGGATACGACTGGATAGATAGATATTATTTTTTGGTATCAATAGTTAGATAGACAAAAAAATACATAATAGATAGATAAGAAACCAAATAAAAACATATACATTTTAAAACATAGGATAGACAGATAGATAGACAGATAGATAAGATAGATAGATAAGATAGATAGATAGATAGATAGATAGATAGATAGATAGATAGATAGATAGATATAGATAGATAGATAGATTAAGAAACAAAATAGATAGATTAAGAAACAAAATAGATAGATAATAGATAGATAGATAGATAGATAGATAGATAGATAGATAGATAGATAGATAGATAGATATATAGATATTAGATAGATGAGGTAGATAGGTGGGCAGCACAATGGTAAGTGTTTAGCACCTCTGCCTGGCAGCACTAGGGTCGTTGTTCTTAATCCCAACCACAGCACCAACTGTGTAGAGTTTGCATGTTCTCCCTGTGCCTGTGTGGGTTTCCTCCCACAGTTCAAAGACATGCTGATAGGTTAAATAAACAAGATAGACAGATATAGATTAGAGTAGGGACTGGCCAGAGAGGGATTACTTTTGACGCAGTTGGCTGGCTTAAACATATGTTGCAATGTATGTGAACGAAACATCCCTGATTATGGCTTCTATAAAAAAAAGATAGATACATTGACAGATTCATAGACAGATTTAGATAAATAGATAGATAAAAAACACAAAAAAGATGGATAGATATTATTGTATTGTATTGTACTGTACTGTATTGTGTTGCACTTTCCCTTGCTGCATTTTTTCTATATAAATACTCCTCCTAGCTTGCTAAAGCACTGTGTATCATAAACATGCACCATGTTTTATATGTAAAAAGTACTTATATTCAACTTTTGTGCTGCTGATCTCTTCCAGCTTCTGGGAGGGCACTCCCTGTCCACATGCATGTGCTCCAGCAGTGGCTTCATGTCATTATTCAGGGTGGGCTTACTAATGGTGACAATGGAAGAACATGCCTCTGGATGAACATCAGCCTGGCCACTTATAATCTCTACTGAAAGCGCATGTGACAGAGCGACAACACAGTAGAGGAAAAGGAGGACAGGAGCCAGCATTGGTATCCTATCCCAGAAGTGCCTGAACAGGAATCTTCATGGCAGGATCATCGGATATTATTTTAATCAAAGCTGCAGATTTTCAGGCCATGTGTTCCTACATGCACGTTTTTAAGGCATTTTTTTTTTGTGTTCCAGTGTATTTTTTCCTCTTTTTTTATTCACCATAAATAAAGACATATAGGTTTCAATGCAACTTTGGAGCGTTCCATTGAGTTTTCGATGCATTTTATCGCGTTCCAGTACAGTTCAGAGCAGGAAAAAAAGCAGCAGGTTGTTTTACTGGGACTGGAACGCACTGGAACTGACTGCACTGGTATGAACTATGCCACTGGAAACCATATAACCTACTACCCATGCATTTTTGATGAAAAAAAAAATGCACTGGACTGCATGTAGTATGGACCGGTCCTTAAACCGACCAAAAGATGTTAACAATTATATGAGATTTTAGTGATTGGGTTTACATATATTTTACATTTTTTTAAACCCACTAAATACATTCCAGGCGCATCAAATCAACTTTGGGCAATGCTACTTACAATTCATTTTCTTTGGAAAGCAGCTACAGCCTGAGCAAAAAAGAAAGAACTCTCGCTGTGGAGACAGTGGTCTCTCTGTAGAGGTCTGACATGTCCCCTGCTGTGTAATCTAACAAAAATGGAAAATGAAGCACCACATTAATACTAAGAGGTCCAGATACAGCTTTATTCAGGGGCGGACTGACCATTTGGAGACTAGGGCACTGCCCGAGGGCCCAGGGTCAGTAGGGGGCCCCATGAGATGCCCCTGGTACCTTTTTCATAGGCTTTTTTTGGGCAAGGACACAGGGGCCCCATGATCCCCTATTGCCCAGGGGCCCCATGAGTTGTCAGTCCGCCCCTGGCTTTATTCCAATAAAAGGAAGAGTATCCAACATCATTCAGGGCTCATCAGGCTGCCAAACCAGCTGCTGACAAGACCGGGAAGAAAGAACATTAAAGGGTTCGGTTACCTTTACCAAAAAATGGAGGATCTCCGAGGTCTCCTTGGCATGTAGCATAATGTAACTGAATGGAAATGGAAATTGAAGCAAACCACCAAGACGTCCAAATACAGCTTTATTCCAATAATCACCAAGTGACCAATCCAAAGAGTAATCAGCATGTTTTGGGCCTCTAACCCCCTCCCCCCCCCCCCCCCATATCAGGTCTTGATTGTAAATAATGTGAATGGAGTAGAAGGGAACTGGACCTTTAAAGGGTTAGTTTATCTTTATCAATGCCTATGCAGATAAGGGGCGTCTGTAGTTAAAAACTGCAGTTCTGACCAAAGCTGAATAATGCCCATGAAAAAGGTGTAGGCCATTATACTCACCTCCTTCATGATGGGAGTGAGCTCTCAAATGCTGAGCTCAGAGCTACATCAGAGGAGAGAAGCGCATTTGAGGGGGTTTGGATCAGAGGAAGAGCTCACTCCTGCGATGGTGGCAACACCCTGGGAGTATTCCAGTCAGGCTTCATGAGGTATGTAAATGGCCTAAACCTATAGCAAGGACATTGTTCAACTTTTAGTTGGAGCTGCACAGTTTGCTTTTATGTACAGACGCCCCTTATCTACATAGGCATTGGTAAAGGTAAACTAACCCTTTAAAGGTTCAGTTCCCTTCTACTCCATTCACATTGTTTACAATCAAGCCCTGATACAGGGGGATGTTTTTGGGACCCCCAAAATATGCTGGTTACTCTTTGGATTGGCGATTATTTGAACAGAGTTGTATCTGGACCTCTTAGCAGTGGTGTGGTGCTTTGGTTTCCATTTCCATTCAGTTACATTATGCTACATGCCAAGGAGACCATGGAGTTCCTCTTGGGCGTTTTTGGACCCCCAAAACGTGTTGGTTTCTCTTTGGATTGGCCACTTGGCGATTATTGGAATAAAGTTATTCCTGGACCCCTTAGCAGTGGTGTGGTGCTTTAATTTCCATTTTTGGTACATTATGCTACATGCCAAGGAGACCATAGAGATCCTCGTGGGCGTTTTTGGACCCCCAAAACGTGTTGGTTTCTCTTTTGATTGGCCACTTGGCGATTATTGGAATAAAGTTATTCCTGGACCCCTTAGCAGTGGTGTGGTGCTTTTAATTTCCATTTTTGGTACATTATGCTACATGCCAAGGAGACTGTGGAGATCATCTTGGGTGTAGAAGCTACCTGCCCAGGAACCAGATTATTTACATCAATACATGTATCTACTGTGATTGGCTGCCACAATGTTCACATGATCAGAAGCCAGTCCCACTGGCTATCTATTGTTAATAAGAACTGACAATTCCGGCTCTGTGCTAGTAGTGTGCAGTGAGCGCGCTCTCAGCACAGAAATATAGGTCCGCCCCAACAATGCATATGTGTAAGATATTGGCATCAAAGCCCACCCTTTTGCCACCGCACACATGTGTTACATGGGTGGCAACAGGTTAAAAACCTTACAGATCTAGTGCTATTTTTTCACTATCCTCAAATGCCAACTTTTGTCAACAAGGTACATGAGCTTTGCTGATTGGAACGCTATTGGTCTGACACAGAAAGAATTGTTTTGGACCTGTGCAGAGAGACCACTGCTTCCTCACATTAAGCAAGGATTCCACTGTAACTGCTGGCCACTGCAGACCTTTCTACTCAGCTGTGGCTGCTTTGTAAAGAAATGGACTGTGAGGATGGCCACACATTATACAATTTTTTTGTACAAATTACCAAAAGGCATTTAATATGAGGTCAGACCTAAACAACACTTTCAATTGCATCCAATTAGGTAGGCCCTTTTACTAAATAGTTGAAGGTAAATCTAAAGGAAATTGTACAGAAAATTGTATAATGTATGGCCAGCCTAAAACTAAAGATTTTTGTTTTAAAATGTAACACATCTGTGCAGTGTTTCTCTGTGCAGTGCTTCCACGATGGATCAGAGTGATTCACAGTGACAACACTGACCAATCAGAATCACTGTGATCCTTCCCAGAAGCGCTGCACAGAAAAGAGGTGGGATTTCAAAGCCCTGGACCGCTGCACTGGCTCTGGGGGCACTGACAGCTCCTGGAGGTAATTACAGCAGGGGTAGGGAGTGGTGAGAGTGTATGATGTCAAAGTGTTACTAAACCCCAGACCCTGCATTCACTATATCCGCTCTCCCCGGACCCCGCATTCACTATATCCGCTCTCTCCCGGACCCTGCACTCACTATATCTGGTCTTCCTGGACCCTGCATTCACTATATCCGCTCTCCCCCGGACCCTGCATTCACTATATCCGCTCTCTCCGGACCCTGCACCACGATATCCCCCCGAACCCTGCATTCACTATATCTGAACCCTGCATTCTCTGGTCTCCCTGGACCCTGCATTCTCTATATCTGGTCTCCCCGGAACCCTGCATTCACTATATCTGGTCTTCCGGGACCCTGCATTCACTATATCCGCTCTCCCTGGACCCTGCATTCACTATATCTGGTCTCCTCGGACCCTGCATCTAGTCTCCCACAGTACACAGAACATGGAAATGCAATTATTTTTGTGAATATAAACTGCTAAATATATTTTCTCAGCAGCAGTTAGAGCAGTCTTGTGACTTCTATCAGTGTCCACCTGAACACATGTTAAAGTTTGTAGGAGGAGTTTTCATTCTCCCCTCACTGCCCTATGAGATTGCATAACACCTGACCCTCTGTCTGGACAGTGCTGATTGGCCCTGTGCTGTCCACATGCGCCTTCCTAAAAAAAAAGAAAAAACTCTCTAGCAGTGCACACCAAACTGAGCACGTGCAGAGTGTCCCTGAGGCACTCCGAGTGTTCTATTAGGAGATGAAATGGGGAACATGGAAGAAGGGGAGGATTAGAGAAGACAGGATCCAACATCTTTTTTACACAAGATGAATCCCTTAAATTCCGAAATGAGTATAACAAGCATGCTGTACTGCATATACAGACTGATTTTACTGTTGTGGGTTTAGTAACACTTTAAGTTCATATTTACATTTTTTTCTGTAAAAGCGAACTAACACTTTAAACGGAAAGTTCAAAAGTGGAATTAATAAAAGTGGGAAAACCCCAATGTTGTAAAAAACTGATCACAAGCCCAAATTCATAGACTGCCAGCGGGGCAGATCTTTACATATTTTAAATTCGGTACTTATGAGTTTTAGCCACTTTGGGGTTGATTTAGTAAAACTGGAGAGTGCAAAATCTGGTGCAGCTGTTCATGGCAGCCAATCAGCTTCTAACTTCAGCTTGTTCAATTAAGCTTTGACAAAAGAAAAAAACAGGAAGCTGATTGGTTTCTATACAGAACTGCACCAGATTTTTCACTCTCCAGTTTAAGTAAACCAACCCTTTAGGACCCTTTCACATGAAGGGTCCAATTAGGTCCGCCTATCAGTTTTTCAGGTGGACCTGATCAGACCCTCCATTCACCCCTATGGACCGACCAGACTTGTGTCTGTCAACACCGGCCTATCTGCAATCCAAACCAGTCTGATAACAGAAAAGAAAGGAAGGGGATCCGTCCCACTCCTTCTAGGCCAGGGATGTCAAACTCAGTCATCGCAAGCTGCATTAGCATTATGGTTACCCTCAAAGGGCCAGCTGTATCTGTAAGACTATATCAATTTATTCAGGGCTTTTTTCTCAGAAAAGGTGCAGAAAATCAACATCCCCCCTCCCCTCATCAAACTGAGTATGGACAAATTGAAGTAGGGGGATATTAAAGGGAAAATAAATACCAAGATGTATGTGCAGAGTTCACGGGTGCCCTATGCACAGAGTGCAGGGCTGACAAGTGCACTACATACAAAGTGCAGAGTTCAGGGGTGTGCTATGTACAGAGTGCAGAGTTCAGGGGTGCGCTACTCACAGAGTGCAGAGTTCAGGGGTGTGCTATGTACAGAGTGCAGATTTCAGGGGTGCGCTATGTACAGAGTGCAGATTTCAGGGGTGCGCTACATACAGAGTGCAGATTTCAGGGGTGCGCTACATACAGAGTGCAGAGTTCAGGGGTGTGCTACACACAGAGTGCAGAGTTCAGGGGTGCTCTACATACAGAGTGCAGAGTTCAGGGGTGTGCTATGTACAGAGTGCAGAGTTCAGGGGTGCGCTACGTACAGAGTGCAGATTTCAGGGGTGTGTTATGTACAGAGTGCAGATTTCAGGGGTGCGCTACTACAAATTTAGAGTACAGAGTTTTGGGGTGCATGGTGTACAGAGTGCAGGATTGCATAAAGAATGCACAATTTAGGGGTGTGCTATGCACAGTGTGCAGGGTTCAGCTCTCTTTCACAGGGTGTGCACCCGGCACAGATGGGGTTCACAGTGCAGCTTACCATGTAATGCCCCATCCCACACTGCAACCATATGTGCAACTCCCTTGTTACAGGAAGGAATCTGAGACGCACTGAAAGGAAAGCTGTCCTCTCTGTTTACAAGTGACGGTAGTGAGCAGGGCGCGGAGGGCGAGAGCCAGAGGCGGCGGCTGAAAAAAAAAAAGCGGTGGGTGTGAGGGCCCCATGAAATGACCAGGCGGCCCGTATTTGGCCTGCGGGTCTTGTGTTTGGCACATGTGGTCTAGGTGGATCAGATCGGAGGAAAGTTGGGTGTAAAGGGACAGCAGAGTCCATTTACACCCGTCTGCCCATAGAGCAGAGAGGGCTCTGTCCCTGTCTGCTCTGCATAAACTGAGGGATCCCCCGCTGATCAAAACAGGGTCCATCCCATGTGAAAGTTTCCTTTGGAGGAGATTCACTAAAATTGGTGCACACAGAATCTGGTGCAGCTGTGTAGAGTAACCAATCAGCTTCCAGGTTTTATTGTCAAAGCTTAACGACTTGCCGCCCAGCCACTGTATATATATATGGCGGCAGGGCGGCACTCGCAGGCAAAACCACGTTTTAAAACGTGTGTTTTGTAAACAAATAGGAGGCGCGCCGCCGCCCTATCTGTCCCGCCGATCTCCGCCGCAGATGTGAGTCGCCGGGTCACAGCCGTTCCTTAGCGGCTGTTTCCCGGCGATCAGCGGCAAACAGTGACAGACAGCACAGCTGCAGTAGCTGTGCTGTCTGTCACTTCCCTGTCAGCTCGAGGATGAGCTGATCGAGAAAGAATAGTTTCACTTTCTCGATCAGCCTTGTCCCGCCCAGTACACACCCCCGCCCCCTAGTAAAACACTCCCCTCACTCCTATAACCCTTCCCTGCAAAATAAAGTTAACCCCTTCCTCCCCATTGCCATTAGTACAGTGTCAGTGGTTTTTTTTTTGCACTGATCACTGTATTAGTGTTTTTGGGGATGTCAGTGACCCCAAGTCAGTACCCCCCAATGTCAGAATGTCCGCCGCAGTCCCGCCATAAGTCGCTGGTTGCTGCCATAAGTCCCTGATCGCCGCCATAATTCGCTGATCGCCGCCATTATTAGTATAAAAAAAAACTAAAAATCCCAATATCTTTCCCGCCATTTGTAAACGCTATAACTTTCACGCAAACCAATTCATTTACACGTATTGGGGTTTTTCTTTAGCAAAGACATGTCGCAGAATGCATTTTGGCAGAAATTTATGACTAAATTTGATTTTTGCATTTTTTTTTTTTTACTGGACATGTTTTATAGCAAAAAGTCCAAAATATTGTTTTTTTTCCTCAAAATTTTCAGCCTTTTTTTTTTATAGCGCAAAAAATAGAAACCGCACAGGCGATCAAATACCACCGAAAGAAAGCTCAATTTGTGGGGAAAAAAAGAATGTAAATTTCATTTATGTACCGTATTGCATGACCGCGCAATTGTCCGTTAAACTAGCGCAGCGCTGTATAGCAAAAAATGGTGTAAATTGCAGTATTTATACCATAGTTTGTAGACGCTATAACTTCCACACAAAGCAATCAATATACACTTATTGGGATTTTTTTTACCAAAAACATGGAGCAGAATACATTTTGGCCTAAATTTATAACCAACTTTGAGTTTACTATATATTTTTTATAGCTGAAAGTAAAAAATATTGTTTTTCTTCAAAATTTTTGGCCTTTTTTTGTTTATAGCGTGAAAAATAAAAAGCGCACAGGTGATCAAATTACACCGAAAGAAAGCTCTATTTGTGTGAAAAAAGGATGTAAATTTCGTTTTTGTGCAGCATTGCATGACCGCGCAATTATCAGTTGAATTAGTGCAGTGCCGAGTAGCAAAAAGAGACCTGGTCATTAAGGGGGGTAAATCCTCTGGAGCTCAAGTGGTTAATTGAGCAAGTTGAAGTTAGAAGCTGATTGGCTGCCATATACAGCTGCACCAGATTCTGAGTGCTCCAATTTTAGTAAATTCTCCCCTTTGAGTCTGTCTATGTTCTTTTCCCAGAGTGTTTCAGATCGTTGCTGTTGAAACACTTTCCTCTAGTAGCATTTAAAAAAAAAAAAACAATTACAAATGTAATATTGAACATTGTCAAGTGCCGTTCATTTAAATTTAACACTATTAATTTCAAAGTTACCAACATACTTTACTTTTAGGGCTGAATTAAAAACTGCCTTTTCATAGATGGAAGCAGAAACGAGAGGCAGTTAATTTTTACTTCCCAATCTCAAAGCTTTGCCGCTGCCTGTTATGATAAATGACTAGAGACATATTCAAATAGAATTCCCAATGTGAAAGGGTGTTTGGAATAATTTGTGATGTATGAGCGATTTATGATAAATAATGCAGCCCGGGATGACTAAATTATCTGCTTTTGGCACATTTGATAACTGCTAAGCCTTTCATTTAGCCTGCAAGTACAGTATGAAGTGTGCGGATATTGTAATCCTTAGCACATAATTGCTTTGTAATTGCTTACTGATGGTAACAGTTACACATTTCTGCCTCTGTAGATCAATCTTCAGAGCAAAAAAGCAATCGGAACGAAGCATTCATCTTCGTTTCCTGAAGATGATGGACTGCTAAGTTCTAAACGGAAAAATCGCCTCCGATATAGCGTTGTAGTTCATCAAAGCTGTTGAGGTGGCTAATTCATTTTTCTTTCCTGGGCGAGTAATTATTAGACATCCATAGGTAAATAAGCAAATACATACAACAAAATAAATCGTATTGGAAACTCAAAACGCTTGCCAACGCAGGCATATAAAAATAAAACCCAACTGAACGTTTAGTTTAAATCAACTGAAAACACTCCAGGTGCTTCAAAACCAATTCTAATGCAGGCCATAGACGGGCCGGGAAAAAAAAATTGCCCGATTTTCGCACCGTTAATGGGTTAATTGGTCAGCCGTTTTTTTAGGGTTTTGGCACATTTTTTTTATTGGTAAAGTTGGGAAAAAAATGGCCGATTTTCCCGGCAATGATGGGCAAATCGTCCGATCGTTTTACCGATTAAAAATTTGTGCATGAGCTGTGACTTGCAAGAAGAAGAAAAAGAAGAAGAAGTCCGCTATTATATTTGACATGAAAAGGTATTGCAGTTGCAACAATGTATCTATTTGTATCCAAATAAAAAACATCTGTATCCGAAATTGATACAAATAGATACATTGTTGCA